GACACCTGACCATCACACCTACTACAAGACCATAAAAAAGTGGACACCTGACCATCACACCTACTACAAGACCATAAAAAAGTGGACACCTGACCATCACACCTACTATAGGAGGAGCATACAAAATGTGGACACCTGACCATCACACTTACTATAGGACCATAAAAATGTGACACCTGACCATCACACCTACTATAGGACCATAAAAATGTGACACCTGACCATCACACCTACTATAGGACCATAAAAATGTGGACACCTGACCATCACACTTACTATAGGACCATAAAAATGTGACACCTGACCATCACACCTACTATAGGACCATAAAAATGTGGACACCTGACCATCACACTTACTATAGGACCATAAAAATGTGACACCTGACCATCACACCTACTATAGGACCATAAAAATGTGGACACCTGACCATCACACCTACTATAGGACCATAAAAATGTGGACACCTGACCATCACACCTACCATAGGACCATAAAAATGTGGACACCTGACCATCACACCTACTATAGGACCATAAAAATGTGGACACCTTCTACTATAGGGCTATATCTCAAACCTTGTCTCAAAGTATCACCCTAACTGTCCCCTCCGCTCTTCATATGACCTTCTGCTTTCCAACTCCCTCGTCAACTCCTCCCATGGTTGCCTTCAGCACTTCACTAGAGTCTCTCCCATCCTCTGGAACTCTTTATCCAGACCAGTCTGTCTGTCTCCCACTCTGACTGTCTTTAGGCGATGTAATGATCCGTGCAAACTCTGCGGGAGGTATAGGATCACAACTGCGGAGGTAAGCGTGAATGGTTCAGTTGAAGGGTTCACTGTCACACTTTAGTGTAGTGAGTGAAGTCGGAACCCCTTACACATCATATACCATTCTGATTGCAGGAGGAATTAAATGGTAGAGGTGAATTCCCACAACCCTCAATTCTACAGCATTGGGGCCTGTTGGGAATTGTAGTTCTCTCCCCAAGTTTACTTCACTAGGGAGGTCAAAGAGACAGTAACTCTATTGCATATAGTATTTAAGACAGTCCAGAGGAGAGGGTAAGGCAGTTTTAGATAAGAGAGTTTAGTGTGCATTCACTACCCCTAACCTTGATGTCAGTAGGTGCATACAACTCGGCAATTGATTACAGCATGTGGTAATGGCTACTTGCTGTTAGGTGGGAAGTCCATTCACAGGATGGGAGGCTGTATCCAGGCTGCCAGAATCCAAGGGGTAGATGTGGAGGTCCAGGCTGAATCCAGGCTGCCAGAATGCAAGGGGTAGATGTGGAGGTCCAAGAGGGGTTAGCAGGATACCCAGAGAGCGGTACAGTTTAGGGTCCTAAGTAGCTTGCTCGACGTACTACTTTGCTAGAACGTCGAGCAAGTGAAAGCCTACGGTTTAAATAGGCAGAGCAGGTGATTGGGGGGGCGGAGTCGGAGACGAGACCCGACCCGAGCGTCTCCTAGCAACGGGACGCCGCTGGGCCGGGCTCGCCGCGTCATCACGCCGACTCAGCTGTTCGGCAGAAGGAGGAGTGGAGCGCGGAGGAACGCCCGCCCGTCGCCCGGCAACAGGACGCTGTTGACGGAACCGTCCCTGCCATGTTCTTGGGCTACGGAGCGGGGTCCGATCCTGACAGGCGATCCCTTAAGACTCATCTCTTCAGGGAAGCCTATCCCACCTCAACCCAACTGCTCACCCATCACGTTCTCAAACAATTCATGCCCACACAGCTCCCTCCTCATGTATCACTTCTCCCTCCCTTTTAGATTGTAAGCCCTCAGGGGCAGGGCCCTCCTTACCATCCTGACTTGAATTGTATTGTGATTGTAATGTCTTCCTTATATTGTACAGCGCTGCGCAAACTGTTGGCTCTATATAAATCCTGTATAATAATAATATAATAATAATGCATGTTCTCCCTGTGCTTTTGTGGGTTTCTTCTTGGTTCTCCAGTTCCCTCCCACACTCCAAGCTGATTTGATGTGAAAACGCAAGGTTTTTGCATCCCTGTGTCAATGCTTTGGTGCTTGGCTGGCCTCTCTAGCACTGGGGTCCCCAGTTTGAATCCAGGTTCAGCCAGGACACTATCTGCATGGCGTTTGCATGGTTCTCCCTGTGCTTGCCTAGGTTTCCTCCATAGACATACTGGTGGGTTAATTAGCTCCTGTCTATATGGGCCCTCGTATGTGAGATTGGGACCTTACACTGTAAGATAAAGAGCAGTGCTGAGGGGTGTGGCTGTTACTTGTCTCTGCCAGTACAGAGCAGTGCTGAGGGGTGTGACTTGTTCCTCAGCTCTGCCAGTACAGAGCAGTGCTGAGGGGTGTGACTTGTTCCTCAGCTCTGCCAGTACAGAGCAGTGCTGAGGGGTGTGACTTGTTAATCAGCTCTGCCAGTACAGAGCAGTGCTGAGGGGTGTAGCTGTTACTCAGGTCTGCCAGTAAAGAGCAGTGCTGAGGGGTGTGACTTGTTACTTAGCTCTGCCAGTACAGAGCAGTGCTGAGTGGTGTGGCTGCTACTCAGCTCTGCCAGTACAGAGCAGTGCCGAGGGGTGTGACTTGTTACTTAGCTCTGTCAGTACAGAGCCGTGCTGAGGGGTGTGGCTGTTACTCAGCTCTGCCAGTACAGAGCACTGCAGTGCTAGGGCAGGAAGCAAAGGAATTGAAACTCTAAAAAGCTATAAAAAAAATTGAAAAAAAGGTGTGACACATGAATTGGGCTTTTTTTTATATTCAGACACCTCCAATCCAATAGGGTTAGGGCATAACCCTAACCCTAACCCCAACCTAAACCTAAAACCTAACCCCTAACCCTATCCCTAAAACCTAACCCTATCCCTAAACCCTAACCCTATCCCTAACCCTAAACCCTAACCCTATCCCTAACCCCTAACCCTATCCCTAAACCCTAACCCTATCCCTAACCCTAAACCCTAACCCTATCCCTAAACCCTATCCCTAAACCCTAACCATTACCGTCTCTTTCTGCTCCCTTTTGGGCTGTAAAATGTCCAATTGAAATAAATTTTATATCTATTGCATGAATGAGAGAATCTGCCCGTTGATCCTGCTAGAAATCCGGTGAGCTCTCCATTTCCCGCAATGAGCTGCCGATGCCGCTCAAAGCTGTTCAGCGTTTACTTTGTAAATAACATCATGTGATCCTTCGGCCGCCCGCTTCCAGTTCCAACCAAATCTTGGGAACCGATATTTTCCGATGACACGCTAATCTCCAGTTATATGGTCCCCGGTGATATACGGCCGGCTGATCTATGGAGGAGATTTATGACATTTGATGAAATCTGCATTCAGCTGGTAACTGGCGGGCAAAGTTCACCCCGAAGGCTTGTAAAGTGAATGCCAGCGAGCTAGTAAACGTGTCCCAACGCCAAGCGATGTTCCTGAAACCATCAAAACTGCAAAAGAGCCTAATTCAGGGGGGTTTTTTTGAGGCAATTATATGAAAATCCATTTTTCTACACTTTGACATGATAAGATATGGAATCCTGTACAACATACATCTTCTATGAAACATTCCTGCACCTTCACCCCTCAGATCACCCGAATCCCTGCACCTTCACCCCTCAGATCACCCCAATTGCTGCACCTTCACCCCTCAGATCAGCCCCAAGTCCTGCACCTTCACCCCGCAGATCACCCCAATTCCTGCCCCTTCCCCCCTCAGATCACCCCAATTCTTGCACCTTCACCCCTCTGATCAGCCCCAATTCCTCCCCCTTCACCCCTCAGATCAGCCCCAAGTCCTGCACCTTCACCCCGCAGATCACCCCAATTCCTGCCCCTTCCCCCCTCAGATCACCCCAATTCTTGCACCTTCACCCCTCTGATCAGCCCCAATTCCTCCCCCTTCACCCCTCAGATCAGCCCCAAGTCCTGCACCTTCACCCCGCAGATCACCCCAATTCCTGCCCCTTCCCCCCTCAGATCACCCCAATTCTTGCACCTTCACCCCTCTGATCAGCCCCAATTCCTCCCCCTTCACCCCTCAGATCAGCCCCAAGTCCTGCACCTTCACCCCGCAGATCACCCCAATTCCTGCCCCTTCCCCCCTCAGATCACCCCAATTCTTGCACCTTCACCCCTCTGATCAGCCCCAATTCCTCCCCCTTCACCCCTCAGATCAGCCCCAAGTCCTGCACCTTCACCCCGCAGATCACCCCAATTCCTGCCCCTTCCCCCCTCAGATCACCCCAATTCTTGCACCTTCACCCCTCTGATCAGCCCCAATTCCTCCCCCTTCACCCCTCAGATCAGCCCCAAGTCCTGCACCTTCACCCCGCAGATCACCCCAATTCCTGCCCCTTCCCCCCTCAGATCACCCCAATTCTTGCACCTTCACCCCTCTGATCAGCCCCAATTCCTCCCCCTTCACCCCTCAGATCAGCCCCAAGTCCTGCACCTTCACCCCGCAGATCACCCCAATTCCTGCCCCTTCCCCCCTCAGATCACCCCAATTCTTGCACCTTCACCCCTCTGATCAGCCCCAATTCCTCCCCCTTCACCCCTCAGATCAGCCCCAAGTCCTGCACCTTCACCCCGCAGATCACCCCAATTCCTGCCCCTTCCCCCCTCAGATCACCCCAATTCTTGCACCTTCACCCCTCTGATCAGCCCCAATTCCTCCCCCTTCACCCCTCAGATCAGCCCCAAGTCCTGCACCTTCACCCCGCAGATCACCCCAATTCCTGCCCCTTCCCCCCTCAGATCACCCCAATTCTTGCACCTTCACCCCTCTGATCAGCCCCAATTCCTCCCCCTTCACCCCTCAGATCAGCCCCAAGTCCTGCACCTTCACCCCGCAGATCACCCCAATTCCTGCCCCTTCCCCCCTCAGATCACCCCAATTCCTGCACCTTCCCCCCTCAGATCACCTCAATTCCTGAGAAATGACTATGATTAATTGTTTTATTTGGCATGTAACCTTGACTATGTTAACTTAGTAATGAATAAAAACCTATTTTCACAGGTAAGGTCAGAAATGGACAAATATCTCCTGGGTCAGATGCCTCCACACCATCAGAAGTACAGAAGGGAGAGTGCTTCCGTGGTGGATGAATTTTTCGAGGCAGAAAAGGTTCCTCAAACTCCTTACAGTGTGAACATAAATGTTATACTACCAGACACTTCTCACCTCCGTACCGGCCTCTACAGGCCTTCAAAGACCTTTACTTTGCTCCCACAGATCAAAATGGAACCAGGGATCGATTTTCCCCAATCTTGCCCCGTTTCCCTGACCCAGACCCTGCCAGATTTCACCAGTGTCTTTAGCATGCCACATGCGGTCCCAGTGAACAATATATTAATTAAGCAGGAGGCACAACCAGAAGTGCCGCTCACAACCAGCGACACACCCCAGACTCACCTTTACCATATGTCCGTGGCCAATGACGCACTCAACTTGGTCCAATCCAATGGAAGTACATCGGTGGTAAATGCAATCAGCTGCACTCCCGCGACCACCACCGCTGGTGAAAACCTTCCCACTCTGACCCATTCAACACGGCAACAACTTGGAAAGCAGTTTCAGTGCTTGGGTCCAGATGGTAGCCTGGTTCCCGGGCAGTTTTTTCAGTCTCCCCCTGTCACGTTACCACCTTCTCCTCCAAATTCCCAGCCAGGGAGCCCAGAAAATTTGCCAGACCTAGTCAACAATATATCTCCCCCTCCACCTTATGAAGCTACATTTGGACTGAAACTGGTAGAAGTACCACAACTCCAAACAGTGTCCGATCTGGGTTCTTTGCTACCACAGGGACAAGTTCTGCACCTGACACTACCAAGATTCAACAGGAGAAATAACCCAGAACTGGAAAAGAGGAGAATACATCACTGTGATTATCCAGGTATGAAAATGTTCTTACAACCCCCTTTTTAATTCATGTCTATTGTCCTTCATCAATCCATCTGGTTGATAATGAATACCCATCATGTTACACATGGATGGTGCCATTGGTTCTTGTGTAGTCCCTCTTATGCTCCTGTGAAGTCTTTTCAGTTTAAAAACTCATCTGTTCGTGTTACGGATGAGGGAAACCAGGAGTATTCACTTTTCGGCATAAAGTTGGCAGATTTTGGCAAAAAAATGCATTGGAGTCGATGGCGAAGGCAAAATATAGGCGTATTGGTGGTTTGTATGGGCAATGGGCTTTAAATGGCTTCTGATGGTAATGGAAGCTCTTGTCAACTATCATGGACCTGTTCCTATGTTTCCTGTCAACCTCAATCCAATTGTTAACCCTAAGGGTAACCCAAACTCTTTGATTATAAATAGGGATGCACCAATACCGGTATTTCGGTATCGAGTACGAGCACCGATATATTTTTTTTTGGTACTCGCCGATACCGAATACCGAGTACCGGAAGACCCATTCAGGAAGCCAGGCAGCGTGTAAAGACTCGCCACCCGGCTTCCCGATTAGCAGGGAGGCCGTCCCCATGCTTCTTATCACTGGGTGACGAGAAAGGATGGAGCCGGCTTTCTGGCAAATTAGGGAGCCGGGTGCTGTGTAATGATGCGGCGGCCTGGCTTCCTGATTGGCCGGGAAGCCGGCTCCATGCTCCCTCGTCATGAGGTGACGAGGGAGCATGAAGCCGGCTTCGCCACCAATTTTGAAAGCCGGGTGCTGCGTCATTACACGCTGCCTGGCTAGCTGATTGGCCGGGAAGCCGGCTCCATGCTCTCTCGTCACAATAACGCGCTGCCCAGCTTCCTGATACCGGAAGTATCGGGCTAGGCATCGGAGCATTTGGACAAGTACGAGTACTCGCCCCAAATACTCGGCATCGGCACAGATACCGATACTAGTATTAGTGCATCCCTAATTATAAACAAAGTCAATGTGATGGCCTTCTCAGAGCTGGCATGGTGACCACATGGCTTTGTTGGTAAAGAAAGCCATATCACACAGCACACCAGATTTACAGGGAAGTTTTAAGCTAATTTTTCTTACCAGTGCCACATGGTGACTCTAAAACAGGGTAGCCCTCCAACTGTGGGGAAACTACAAATACTATCATGCATCTGCCTCAGTAGGCCATGCCTGTGGCCGTCAGAGACTTGTAATGCCTAATGGGACTTGTAGTTTTATCACAGTTGGAGGGCCGCAGTTTGGCTACCCCTGCTCTAGAGGCTAATTACAACATCATTCCGTTGAGGACGAAACCAAAAACCTCCTGTACATCTTCACTGTTTACTTGTTTCAACTTTGTATTTAGCTGTTGAGCTAGATTTGCCCCTCAGGATAATCCTAAGAAAATTAAATGCTCAGGGACACAGAGAACATTGTATGCCTATACTATATGACCAAAAGTACCTGGAGTTGTGGACCCCTCCTCCAGGTGTTTCCAATAAAGGCGTCTGTTAATACTACGACATACAAAGACATTGTAGACAATTGTGCTCTTGCAACCTTGTGGCAACACTTTAGCTAAGGTCCTTTACTGTTCCACCATGACTGTCCCCTGTGTACAAAGCCAGCTCCATAGAGACACGGTGTGACCAGTTTGGTGTGGGGGAACTTGCGAGTCCTGACCTCAACCCTACTGAACACCTTTGGGATGAATTGGAACCCCTCTAAATGATTGGGTTATTGTTATAAACAGTTTGGTGAAGGCCCTTTTCTGTTCCACCATGACTGTCCCCTGCGTGCAAAGCCAGCTCCATAAAGACATGGTGTGACCAGCTTGGTGTGGAGGAACTTGAGCGTCCTGCACAGAGCCATGACCTCAACCCTACTGAGCACCTTTGGGATGGATTGGAACACCAATTGTGAGCCGGATCTTCTCACCTAACATCAGTACCTGACCTCACAAATGGTCACAGATTCCCACAAACACCCTCCAAGATGAGGCTGTTGTATCCGCAAGATGGGATTAGAAGGGGCTCCATAATAATGCCCATGGTTCCAGAATTGAATGTCCAGCGAGCTCATATACGCAAGTGTACCCAAACTTTGGCCATAAAGTGTATCAATTTTTCTGCACAAGTCACAGAGATGAAAATAAAGGGCAGCTGGTTTGCCATAACGGAAGCTAAGAATGGTGCAAAAGTAGGTTTCTACACCCAAGAAAAATATAATACAGTATATTGCAGCTTACCAGTTCTTATATGTGGTGGCTGCATTAGTTTCCTTTTGTCAGGCCTTTTTCCACTTTGTTTTCCCCAGCTGATCCAGCCAGTGACACACTTCCTGACTTAGGGTGGCAACGCTCACTGAGCGTACTATAGATTTGGCGGAGCAGCGCTGTCACTCTAGGATAGGACTACAGAAGATCTCCCTCTCTTCTCCTTCCCTTCTCTTCCCTTTCCTTCTCTCCTCTTCCCTTCTCTCCTCTTCTCTCCTCTTCTTTTCCCTTCCATTCCCTTCTCTCCTCTACTCTTCCCTTCTCATCTCTTCCCTTCTCATCTGTTCTCTTCCCATCTCTTCTCTTTCCTTCTCTTCTCATCTATTCCCTTATCTTCTCTTCTCTCCTCTTCTCTTCCCTTGCATTCCCTTCTCTCCTCTTCTCTTCCCTTCTCATCTGTTCTCTTCCCTTCCCATCTCTTCTCTTTCCTTCTCTTCTCATCTCTTCTCTTCCCATCTCTTCTCTTCTCATCTCTTCTCTTCCCATCTCTTCTCTTCTCATCTCTTCTCTTCCCATCCCTTCTTTTCTCATCTCTTCTCTTCCCATCTATTTCCTTCTCTTCCCATCTCTTCTCTTTCCTTCTCTTCTCAGCTCATATCTTCCCTTCTCTTCTCACCTCTTCTCTTCTCATCTCTTCTCTTCCCATCTCTTCTCTTCCCATCTCTTCTCACCTCTTCTCTTCTCTTCTCTTCTCATCTCTTTTTTTTCCTTCTCTTCCCATCTCTTCTCTTTCCTTCTCTTCCCTTTTCTTCTCTTCATCCACCCTTCCCTTCCCCAGGACATGCACAATGGATAGAAATACAATATCATGAGCTATAAATGACAACATTGTCTTCAATAAATGTCTTGTGTTGTATACGTAATGTATATAATAGTATTATTGATTTTTCACTGTGTTCCTGCATTGCTTTCTATTTTCTCAGGTTGCACAAAAGTCTACACCAAGAGTTCACACCTCAAGGCACATCAAAGGACACACACAGGTAAGGAATACAAAGAACTGACATGTTTCAGATCTTTTCTCCGGGCAGCATGCTGCAGGGAGGACCAGCTGTGCTCTATGCAGCGGCCCAACGCGCTTCCTGCTGAGTGGGACCTATAGCAAGGATAACACATACCCTGCTGATTGCTGAGCTATTGGTCTGACACAGCGGGGAGGGGGGGGGG